TGAATGAGCAAGTCTATGTCTCTTTCGACAATTTTACCGGGAGGGTTATATATTGAAACTAATGTAATAAGTTCGCTGTTGATGTGTAATTGTATAGCCGTGGCCTCCATATGTTCAAGTTTTGGGAGGGCAATTTCTGAGTGTTTAATTCCCTTTCTAATCAAGATGGCTGTGCCCCCGCCGGGTCTGTCCTGTCTGTCTGATCTATATGTGTAATAGTTCGGGCAATTGAATTTCATGGGCTGGTGTAGGTGGGTTTCGTTTACTAATGCAATAGTGATATTGTTGGCTTCCAGGTAATTAAAGAATTCGGTTTTTTTGTTGGAGATTCCTCTGGCATTCCAAAATAATATACAGGTATTACTGTGTTCCCAGCGGAAGTTTGCCATAATTGAAGGCGAGTATGTTGGACATGAAGGTGTTGAAAATGACTGGGAGGGCGCTTTCATACGGATGTTGTATGAATTGTAAAAGCATAGCCGATAAAGACTGGATGAGTATTTGAAAAGGGAAAGCCGGGTTGAAGGATCTGATTGCATTGACAAAATCCCGACACTGAGATTCAGTGTTAAGATCGCCGAGCCTTTGTCCCTCTGGGCAACAGAATGGTCTTGTTAAATTGTGTGTAGAAGGATACTGAGGGTTGGGTTCCGTTAGGTCTGACCGTGAGTTTTTGGAGCTGTGGGTTTGAGTGACACTGTCTTGGGATGAGGGCTTCGCAGTTGCAGTCCTTTGAGGCCTGGGGGTCTGAGAACTTGTGTTGTATATATCCCCGTGTACAGCTGTGGAGGGGGGTGGGGTATGTGCTTTGTGTGTTTTATTGTGTCTTGAGGGACTTGCAAGAGATCGCTGGTCATTGCTACTACCAGAGCCCGCTGCTAAGTGAGTGGGTGCCCCTCTGCAGACACAGTCAGCTTTGTAGCCGAGCCTTGGATCCTGCCTGGGGTGTAGAGTGTGGGTCTGTGTGTTTTGGAAGTGGACATTGAAAGGAATGTTAAGTGGTTGTGTTGTACCAGGGTATTGCGCAGGTGTCTGGTTACCAAACTGCAGTGGTCGGTTCCATGCATTTTGCAAGTTCATAGCTGGGAAATGGAGGTTATTGTTTGAAACTGGTTGGGGTGTAGGAAGGCCGTGCTGCCTGAGGGCTACAGGGTGTGTTCTTGGAGCAGGGGGCTTGGAATGTGAAGGTTTATTGCGATTTAGTCTGCTTTCTTTTTCCATGAGTTCCTGAAAGAATGGGCAGCCTCTGAATCTAGTGCTATGGTCTCCGATTTTACACAAGGCACAGGTCGGGACAAAGTTGGGTTCGAACCTGGCCTCACATTCCCACGAGCAATGCTGACCAGCACAGTAGCCGCAGGCGGGGGGAGCATGGCAGCTGGCAGCCACGTGGTAAAACTGCTGGCACCGTGCGCATTTGGGCGGCACGGTCCGCGTTCTGTACGGCTCAACTATGATTTTAATGTAACAGAGGCGGTTCAGTTGCAGTATTTTGTGGCTCTGAGGAATGTTATCTAATTCAACAATATGCATATCCAATGGGCTCTTGTCCCTCCAGGCTGTCATGGGGATGACATTTTGAACTGACATCCCGATTGCTTGCAGTTCTTGCTG